TAGTATGTTATTAGCCATACTCGCAATGGTAAACAGTTCCAATGTAGTTTGTCACAGCAATGATCAGATTTGTCCATTTTGAGTTATAGTAAAATCAGATCTAAAACATGGCCATTTTAAGTCTTTTTATGCATAGTTAATTTCTCTATTGTCATGTGTTTTTTGTTTGTTTGTTTGTTTGTTTTGGAGAAGTTTTTGCTATAGGGCACGTGCGCTCACCAGAAAGACAGAGAGAGACAGAGAGACAGAAAGTGAGAAATCACCCCTAGGGGGAATGGGCGTGCAGCAATCCCTTCTCCTCTTTTCCCCTTCAGGATCTTGGACGCACATGCACATGTGCCCAGAGTGAGTTTAAGCCACTAGGTCCAGGACTCGACCTGCGGTAGACTACATGGGAGTTCAGTGGCATAGCCATTATGCCAACTGCTGGTCCCTCACCTGATGCACTTTCTGAAATATTTTGTAATAAGCTACAAGCCAAAATTGCCTCTTTTAAGGACATAAATTTTAAAAAAAGACTGATAAACACCCTTAAATATAGGTGTTTGATAACTTTGAGATCACATTTCTGAACTTCCAGGATTTAAATGGACCAATTTACATTCCCATGAGCAGGGTAAAAGAGTTCCTCTTTCACCACACCCCTACCAGCACTTATCATTTTTTTTTGTTTTTTGTTTTTAATCTTAGTCATTCTGACTGGAGTTAAATGGTATCTCATTGTTGTTTTGATCTGTATTTCCCTTACAATGAGGGATGTTGAGCATTTTTTCATATGCCTTTTAGCTATTCGTATGTCATCTTTAGAGAGTGGTTGTTTCAACTCATTCTCCCATCTTTAATAGGACTGATCATCTTTTCTCGGAACAGCTGCTTGAGTTCCTTGTGAATTCTGGTTATCAGTCCATTATCTGACGCATAGTTTACAAAATATTTTCCCATTCTGAGGGTTGTCTATTCACACTAATTACTGTGTCTTTTGCCATGCAGAAACTACTTAGTCTGATATAATTCCACTTGTCTATAGCAAGCTCAGCTGGTAATTTCAAGAAAAGCAGTTTTGAATTGGTAAGGAAATTTGCTTAAAACTTAAAGCCTGGAAACAGGTTAGTATTCTGTTCAAATGGTAGGTACATGAACTTATTGACAGCTCGAGAAAGAACAAAAACGTGTAAAACCAGACGACAAAGCCTAGAAGAAAAGTAGCAATATTTTAGTCAAAAGTCACAGAACGCTATTTCATCAGGTCAGTCTCATGTACTTAATCATCTTCTGTTGTGGTTCGATCTTCTCGATTGAATTCTGGGATATAATATTCAACTCCAGACTTCTCCCTGTGATTAAGTTAGCCATTTTCTAGTTTTTGAACTCTTATTTCTGTGTGTCTGTATTTAATTTTCCTGGTATAGCACTCCCTTGAAAACTTCTTGGAGATCTGGTCTGGTGCTGGTAAATTCTTTCAGGTTTTGTTTATCTGAGAATATTCTTGTCTTTTCTTCCCATATGAAGGATAATCTTGCCAGGTGCCATGAAATTGTTTTTCACTTAACACTTTGAATATATTTTCCCATTCTTTCCTTGCTCACATTGTTTCCAATGAGAGGTCTGCTGTTCGTCTGATGGGATATCCTTTGTAGGTAATGTGCCATTTCTCTCTTGCCAATCTTAATATCTTGTCTTTGTGGTTTTGGTCAATCTGGCTATAATGTGTCTTGGAGAAGATCTTCTTGTGTTGATTCTATTTGGGGTCCTTTGTATTTCATGGGACTGAATCTTTGAGTTCCTCTCTCAGTTTGAAAAGTTTCTTTGCATGGAAGTTGATTTCATGGAATAGATTGGTCAATGCCCTTATGAGTCTCTTCACCTTCTGGAATATCAATTTTCCAGATATTTGGACATTTGATGGTTTCTAGTATTTCTCATATGTAATATTCTCTAGTATATTATTCTAATTTTGGGGGTAATTTTCTCAGTCTTTATGGTGGATTTTTCTAGGCCAGCAATTTTCTCTTCTACATCTGAGATTCAATATTCTGTGTGATCTAGTCTGCTTTTAATGCTTTCAAGGGAGATTTTGACTTTCCATATTATAGTCTTCATCTCTAAGCATTCCATTTTCTGTATGTATCTTTAATTTTACTGATCAAGGACTCTTTTCAGAACTTCTTGAAGAGTGGGTCTGCTACTGTCAAATTCTTTCAAGTCTTGTTTATCTGAAAATGTTTTTATTCTTTCTTTCTATATGAAAGATAATCTTGCTGGGTAGAGTATTCTTGGTTAAAACTGTTTTTTACTTAGTACTTTGAATATATTTTCCCATTCTTTCCTTACTCACATTGTTTCTGATGAGAGGTTTGCGGTTAAGCCTGATGGGATAACCTTTATAAGTAACCTGACATTTCTCTCTTGCCAATTTTATTTTTATTTTTACTTTTGAGAGGTTTTTGCTATAGGGCGTGTGCACTCACCAGACAGCCAGAGAAAGACAGAGCGACAGAAAGCGAGAAATCACTCCCCAGGGTGGATGGCCACACCACAATCCCTTCTCCTCCATTGTCCTCCTGGGATCTTGAGCATGCACGCACATGCGCCCAGCGTGAGTTTTAAGCCATCAGGTCCGGGACTCAAACCACGATCGACTATATGGGAGTCCAGTGACATAGCCATTACGCTAACTGCTGATCCCTCTTGCCAACTTTAATTTCTTCTTTTTGTCTGTAGTTTTGACCACTCTGGCTATGATGTGCCTTGGAGGAAATCTTCTTGGGTTGATTCTGTGTGGGGTCCTTTGTATTTCTTGGGTCTGGATATTTGAGTGTCTCTCTAGGTTTGGAAAGCTTTCTTCCAAGATTTCATGGAATAGATTATCAATGCTTTTATTAGTTTCCTCACCTTCTGGGTGAGGAAATTATCCTAATGTTTGGGTGCTTAATGCTGTCTAGTATAACTCATATAGTATTCTCATTTGGGGGGATTTTTGGGGGGCCGGGCTGCCCGGGCCGCGGAACGCGGAGCAGAGCCCCGGCCGCAGGCCCAGGCCCGCCGCCGCCGATGCGCGCAGGCCCAGGCCCCTACTTTTAATACTTTTGAGGGACGTTTTGATTGCCTGAAGGGCAGCCTTCATCTCTAACAGCTCCATTTGATTGTTTTTTAAGGTGTGTATTTCCTCTTTCAGATTATGTAAGAACTTCAGCCCCCTCCTGGGACTCATTGTCTCTTTTCTCCTGCATCTTCTGGAGTTCATTATCTCTCAGCTCTTGCATCTCACTTAGTTTTGTCACTATGAATATTCTGAAGTCTTTATCAGAGAGATAGTCTGTAATACGAACATAATTGGAGAACTTTTTTTGGAGAGGTTTTTGCTATATGGTGCTTGTGCTCACCAGAAAGACAGAGAGACAGAAAGCAAGAAATCACCCCCTAGGGTGGATGGCTAGGCCACAATTCCTTCTCCTCCATTCTCCTCCTGGGATCTTGGGCATACACGAACACGTGCCCAGAGTGAGTTTAAGTCACCGGGTCCCGGACTCGAACTGCAGTCGACTACATGGGAGTACAGTGACATAGCCATTACACTAAATGCTGGTCCCAATCATAGTACATCTTGATAGCACACAACATGGTTTTTCAAAATATGCATACAGCAGTATGGGTTGAGCAAGTCAAAGACAATATCGTATATATCATCCTCAATAGATAACCTTTCATTCTTATGTCTATTGATTGTTTTCCCCGAGACCCTCCTGTCCACCTACATGGCATGTTTTCAAAGCCTCCAGGTCCAGGACTTGAAGTGCACAAATGGCTCTGTGGGACCCAGCCACCTTGATCACAGCACTGGCTGGCCCATTTGGGAACTCTTGTCTCCTAGCTCTTGCCTCCCCCTGAGTGGTTGCATGTATAGGACTGACTAGGTGGTGAGAAAATGGGGACTGCAAAGGATTTATAATATTACATGTTGTAACAAAGAGAAAAAAAAAAAGTTGCAGATGTAAGTATTTTGAAATTAAGAGATATTCTGAACTACTGATGGTCCCTAAACCAAAACTGCATATTTTATAAGAAAAAGGTGCAGGAAGATTTGAATGGAAAGAGAAGAATATGTATTATGGAAGCAGTCGTTGGAGTGATGTGGCCAGGAAAGGAGCATCGTCGTTAGCCACAAGAAGCTGAGAGCAGTCTCTGACTCTCCACTAGAGCCTCTAGAGGGAGTTAGTCCTGCTAGCAGATGTATGTATAGACAATAACACAGTTTTGGACCCCCTACCTCCAGAACTGTGAGAGAATAAGTTGTATAAGACAGCGGGTTGTGGTGATTTGTTCTAGCAGCCACAGGACACTAATCTAGAAGCCTATTATGTCCTCATGTTTTCTGAGTAGGTGCCTGTGGGAGATGAGTCCATCAGCCAGATAGGTTTCATGAAAGGAAGGGTAGAGTTGATCCAGGGAGTGTGTTCCCTTGCACATTTTGCTTGTGATCTGACTGTGGAGTGCTTGGATGGAGGTGTCCAGTTGGCACAATGCTTGTTTTTGGAGCTTTTGGAACAGTCTGAGAGGCAAACATTAGACTAAGGTTGGGGTGTGTGTGGACACTAATGAGTCCTCTGAGTGTGTGGAGAAAAGGAAGAGTTGATCAAAGGTTGAATCCTGGTGATGCACTAAGATTTCAAAATTAGATGGAAAATCAGGTGTCCTGGACATGACATGGGAGTTAAAGTACAGTGGAGATCTGGGGACTGAGCAGGTCGACAGCGGTTCCATGAGGACATCACAGTAGTGCTGCTGTGAGGTATGAACCACATGACAAGCCAACCAGTGAGTCTGGGGGTTTCCTAAATACATAACTTTTGGGGATCCCAAACACTTTGGCCTCCAGTAACAGCAGATATTCAGTCTCTATAAGTTACTATGACAACATCAAAATGCACTTTAGTATTAAAACTGCCCTTAACTCAAGCACTGAGACTTAGATGCAAACAAGACACAAGGAGAAGTGCAGGGAACATAATTTATTAAAGCAAGATGTTGAAACCTTTACATTTTTCATTGAAAATCAGGTATCATTGGAGGAGAGTAGAAACAGAATATAATATCCTTTGCAACTAGAGACACTTAGGAAGCATTCTCACCTGTAATAAAAAATAAAAGAAAATTGGTGTCAGTCATGGTGCTCCTGGAGAGACATGTTAACACAACCAAGAGATCAATGGAAATTCTGCCAACAGCAGCCCCTGGAAATCTTGTGAGTGCATGCGTGGGAGGGGAAAGTTGAAGCATAGCCATGCCATGAATGATGGGGAACAACTTTTTCAAAGTCAGGAAAACAAACCCTGAAGTGGCCCAAGAGTGTGGCTCAGGTTGCTAATGGAAAGGAAAGGGGGACAAGCAGGACAGAGCATTCAGAAGTTACATTCTATGAGGTTCCAGGACAATGAATGTCATCCACTATTACCCCCATGGGAGACCCAGGACTAAAGGATGTGGGATGGGACTGGGATGGGACTGTGAGACTCAGCTTTCAGGAAACACCCAAATCCCAGGTGGGAATTCTGCCTCAGGGCTGAATTCCTTTTTTTTTTTTTTTTTTTGCTATATGGCACATGCGCTCACCCCAATCCCTTCTCTCCATTCTCAACTCGGGATCCTGGGCATGCATGCACACGCACCCGGCATGAGTTTTAAGCCACCAGGTCTGGGACTCAAACCGCGGTCAACTACATGGGAGTCCAGCGACACAGCCATTACGCTAACTGCTGGTCCCTGGGCTGGGTCCTTTTTAATAATGAAATTATAGCATCTCAGAGCATCTGAAACTAAATTTCAGGACTTAAACCCAGAAAGAGACAAGCCAAGAGGCCCTTTTAAAAATTTGGTTTCCTGGGAACCAGCAGTTAGCGTAATGGCTATGTTGCTGGACTCCCACGTAGTTGACCGCAGTTCGCATCCCGGACCTGGTGGCTTAAAACTCATGCCGGGCTTGTGTGCGTGCATGCCCAAGATCCAGAGAGGAGAATGGAGGAAAAGGGATTGCGGCGTGACCATCCCCCGGGGGTGATTTCTTGCTTTCTGTCTCTATGTCTCTCTTTGTCTGTCTGGTGAGTGCACATACCCTATACTGAAAATCTCTCCAAGAAAAAAAAAATTGGTTTCCTGATAAAGACAGAATATAGGTATTTTGGGTCCGCATGGACTGTAGAAGATTATGCAGTGCAGGGCTCTATGCTTTGGCAATGGTGATGGTGATGGTGTTGGAGGTTAGGAAAGAAACATGGGGCAGAAGGAGCTGGGAGTGGGCTCCTGGCTCTGTAGAAGCTGCCAGAGACCCCCAGCCAACAGGGCTGCATCTAACAGAGGCCAGCTCCAGTCTTCTCCCTCTGTCTCCCTGTTCAACAGCCCCAAGACTCCCATGAGATTCCTTAGGGCTTGTGCCCATTGAGTGAGTGGACCTCACCCTCAGCAAAGCTCCCAGGTAACAAAAAGCAGCAGGGCTTGGTCTTCCAACCTCCCTGCAAGAGGCCTCAGCTATCCTTCCATGTAGGACACTGGGAAACATGGTATCCAGAGGGGGTGACCTAAGAGGAGGAACATGCCCAGGATGCCGTGAGCAGGTGTGATCAATTTAACAGGTGCTTTGGTATCTTCCACCCTGTGGTCTGAGTCACCCAATCAAAGGTGAGAAGCAAGATAGGAGCCCTACCCAATGGAACAGCCAACTGACCTCACCCCTGGCTGTGGAGCTGACCAGAAGCCTCTATGCAGAAAGGAGAGAGAAATTACCAATATAGCGTTAATTTTAAGTATGTCTCCTCCGTGCATCTCATCCACGCATTGCTTCACTTGAAACTTTGCCTGAACAGCATCTGCTGGTGCATTAAATATTTTAAGTGTCTTCTCAAACAGCCACATAGGCATAGTTAAGAAGTTTACTGTATGAATAACAAAGGCTGGACAGACCATTGCATTGGCTAGAACAAAAAAATTAAAATACAATTTAGGTAATAAATAAAGTCATTTCCCCCATGGCTCCCTGATGTTCAACTAGTCAGTACCACCAAGGTTTTATGCTCCCATTGCATATTTGTGCTAATGACGATGTAAGACTCTCAAGGTCGAGACTTCTGCCAGATCACAAAGCCAAGGGCAGAGCTAGGTCTGGAAAACTGTTTTCTTGAGCACTCATTCTGTTTTTGCTTTTGCAAAAGCTCACAGCACTGCTCTCTAAAACTCTGATTTACAGAAATTTGCTTTTGTTGGATTCAAAATAATTAACTATTAATAGATAACCGATAACAGAGTAACATTTTATTCAACACAGATACTGACGAAGAAGAGGTTTGGGTATTTAAATTTCAGTGTGAATTGTAGTGTCAGAATCTTACCAGAGATCAGAAAAGTGAGAGTAAGTCTGGAGAAGAGCAAATAAAATGGTTTTTAAAAATGTCGAAGGACTATGTTTTGAATCCAAGTTTGGAGAAACTGGGGCTATGCATAGAAGCAGATTGAGCTCAAAAGTAAAGAAATAAACCAAGTTAGTTTTAACCAAAATTAGGAGCTTTTGTGGAAATGTGAGAAATTGGGATTGGCTCTTGCTCTGCAGTAATATTCAGCATCCCTAGACTGCTGCTGCTGGCAATTTTGGTGCGACCTGGATTCCTATCACTTTCTCTGGTCTGGATTCCCCATTCCCCCAAGTCCTCCACAACTTCACCTCAGAAGTGCCCTTCCAGGTCACAATGTGACCCATAATCAGTTGACATCGAACTATGAGGAGAATTTCGAGAGAGATTCAGGCAACTCAGGGAAAGAGTCCCAAGGATGGGCATGAAACATACAAAAACTTATCAAAGCATGGGTATAATTAATTCAAGAAAGACAGATACCGTAGTGATAATCATTTTCGTAGTTTTGGTAATCGTAGCAAAATTGGTATGAATGGCAGTAGTGGGTACCTTGAGCGCTGCTTATTCTCAGAGCCCAGATGCTTGTTTCTTAAGAGATTCAGAGAGCACTGACTCATTCTGAACTGAAAGCTCTCCAAAGACCCTTCTAGTTATATCATTTTATGAGTTTGAACTTAAAAAGCCTTGAGTTCAATTCACACCAGAGACTCTGGGGAGGAGAATTTCTAATTATTAAACATTTGCTGATACCTGGAGCTCAAGTGAGGACATACAAAATCTCGCTCCACTCTCATAGCACTCTTGGTGGTAATAGTAAGCACCAGTGATAGGCTTGGCAAGTGTAAGGATTTTTGTGTAAGCAAAGGACTGGTAATTGGCAGATCCCAGGTTCATACCCAGCAACTCCCATTATATCCTGCTTCACCTGAGACACAGGTCACAGCCAAGGAGTGAAGTTCCACCAACAGTTCCCCAAATTTGCCTGCAACAAATATTTTTTTCACAAAAGTTCTTAGGTACTAGGAAATTAATGAAATGATCCCTGAGCTTTTTTGGGTGGGAGGGTAGGGTAGAAGGGAAAGTAGTTCATAAACACAGAAAAAGGCTTAAATTTTGGCCTGTTCTTACCCTACACCATGCAAAAAGGTTTCTCTAGTGTTCAGATAAGGGCCCTTATCAGGGCTGGTGTTGGGCTAATGACAAATAATACTCACCCTGGTAGCAGCAAAGGGCCAGCGTGACCAGCAGGAGAGCCACCCAACTGGTGTTGGGCTAATGACAAATAATACTCACCCTGGTAGCAGCAAAGGGCCAGCGTGACCAGCAGGAGAGACACCCAAAGCCTCATGGTGGTTAATTTTGCTTTCAGCTTTAGGGAACAATGAGTGGTTTAGACTCGACCACAGGAGCCTGCAGAGTCAGTGGAGACTAAGGTTATTTGTACCTGGTGAGCCTCACTGGCCCTGCCCACACAGGCTATGGTAGGTCACAAAGCCTGGCTTCCAGCTCTGCCTCCTCACAAAGGCTGTGGCTGTTAATCCCTGTCACATGTCTGCCCCTCCCTCCACAGAGCAGTACACAGATGAGCAGCCCCACAGGAAATCTGTTCTTCCCTCCAGATGAGTGTTTAGGTGCCTATGGAAATAATTCCTGGAGCCTCAGCCTCAGCCAGCTCAATTGGTTCTGAGCTTTGAGTTTTTTGTTTTGTTTTGTCTTGTTGTAAGTTTTTTGAAGACAGTGAGATAGCCCTGATGGAATCATGCCATGCTGTCATCCTCCCTCCAGCCTTCTAGCCAGCCAGGAATCATGGGTGTGCTCTGGTTCAGGGCAATCCAAGATTTGAATCCAGGTTTTTCAATAGCTTCAGTATTGCACAGTGCCACCCTAATTTCTAAGCAACCATGGCTTGGCTGGAGCTTTTGGGTATTGTATCTGTTCTTTGCATTAGTGCAGAGCTACAAGAAAGTTCTAACATCAGGAGGATAGAATTGGGGAGGGGCACAGGAAGCTAGAGGGCTACACTTTTGTTAAGGGAGAAAAGGCACATAGGAAGAATCCCACTGGCCCTCCTCCATCTGCCTGACAGCTGACCAGGAGTGTTTCAGCTGCACATGGGTAACATCTGAGCAAGTCTTATCTTCTCCCTTGACCCCTTCCATCACCACCATCTTTATCACATATGTACCTTAAAACATTGCTAAGGGGACCAGCAGTTGGTGTAATGGCTATGTAGTTGCTGGACTCCCATGTAGTCAAATGTGGTTCAAGTCCCAGACTTTGTGGCTTATACTCAAGCTGGGTGCTTGTGCATGCATACCCAAGATCCTGGGAGGAGAATGGAGGAGAAGTGATTTTGGTGTGACCACACCCCCTGGGGGTGACTTCTTGCTTTCTGTCTATCTGCCTCTCTCTGTCATTCTGATGAGCGCAGGCACCCTATAGCAAAAAACTCTCAAAAAATAAATAAATAAATAACATTGCTAAGAATATCTGATTTTTAGAGAATTTGTTTTGGGAAAAACAGCTTCTGTACCTTTTACTACTGGCCTTTCTCCGTACTCTGACAACAAAACAAGAAAAGAAAACTACAGGCCAATAACTCTGATTAATATAAATGCAAAAATCTTCAAAAGAATACTAGCAAATTAAATCCATAGTACTTTGAAAGGGTTATACACCATGAACAAGTGATATTTAAACTTGGATATAAGAATGGTTCAACATAAAAAAAATCAATTAATATAATATGCAACGCTAACAGAGAACAACACAAATCACGTGATTATTTTGATATATATGGGAAAGTTCTTGACAAAATTCAGCATTCTTCCATAATAAAAACTCTCAATAAATTAGGGGGAAAGAGGAACTACTTCAACAAAATAAAGGCCATATAAGTACATATATATATATATATGTATATGTTTATACATATAAATTCTCTCTCTGGTGAGTGTATGCACCCTCTGGCAATAAAAAGAGAAAGAAAGCTCTGAGAGCCCATGGCATAAAGTGTTTACAGAGATTCACAAAAACATTTACTTTAGAAAGTTTTTAAAAGACATTTATGGTGCACCAGCAGGTAGTATGCAGGTGGCTGGATCCCACATGGTTGACTTTGTGGTTTGAGTCCCAGACCTGGTGGCTTGAAAAATCACACCAGGTACATGTGCAAGAGTGCCCAAAATCCCAAGAGGAAACTAGAGAAGGAATTGTGGTGTGGCTTTGCCCTGGGCAATGGGAGGAGAGTCCTCATTCATCCCTACCCCTAGTGAGTGCACACACCCTAGAGCAAATTTTTAAAAAGTAATAAATAAAATTATTTCTTTAATGAGAAAGAGAGAGAGAGAGAGAGCACTCTCAACAGGGTCTCAATGCCATGATTCATCCCCAGCCTTAGCCAGTCATAGATTATGGGCAAGTGTACAACTAGCAACTTGTCCATATGGATTGCCTTGCAGAGCATCACATTTTATCATTATGCTACTCTCTGGCATAATGTTGGCACTTGCTACTCTTTTTTTAAATTTTTTATTATCATCATAATCTTCTTTATATTACATTGGATTACATATAACTTTACAGTATATTCCATTGCTTTTTCAAAAGGGAATGCCATGCAAGTCAGTCAGTACAAAGACATTAATCTCCCCGCTTCAACATTCAATATCTTTTCTATGTTTTCCCCAATCATTATTATTATTATTAT